CTCGGGCTTCCTGTAGTCAGCCGCTGGTCAGTTTCAGCAGCGGCTGAATCTGGACGCCAGTTCCGACTTACATACAGATTCAACTTAAGAACAAACCTACAGTCCCTATCTTGTACGTAACCCGGGGACTGCCTGTATTAAACAATTAGTTTGTAAGCACTTAAAGGTATAATGACTAGTAAGCCTGGATTTAGCTAGAACAATTCATTCCAAACCAACTCCATTCCTTTTTAGTCAGGGTTACTAGAGAATGAAGCAATAGACATGATATATCTTGGTGTTCAGTCCCACATGATAGTCTCAAAAATAAACTGGGGAAATGTGGCATACATGAAGCTACTTTAATGTGGGTGCACAATTAGTTAAAAGATCATACTCAAAAAGTAGTTACCAATGTCTGGTGGTGAACACGAAAGAACATATTTTGTGGGATTCTGCAGGGGTTAGCCTGGCCCAACACTGTTTGATAATTTCATTAACAAATAGGGCAATGGAGGGAGAGTATGCTTATAACATTTGCAGATGACACAAGCACTTTGGAGCACAGAATTACAACCCAAAATACCCCTGACAAAATGGAGAATTGATTTGAAATCAAGATTTGGTGATCATACAGCTTTTGAAGGGGACTGTTGCACACAGGACAATGATTGTAGCTTTCAGGTCACAACTTGTCATTGTCTCTCCAAATTGGGACAATGTTCAGTGTTGGGGCAGATCCCATCTTCTCTGAACTCCTGATTCAGGAAGGAAGCAGACTCCTCGCCCCTCTCTGTTTCTAAAATCCTTGGTGGGATGAAGGGAGTGACTGTGAGGGCAATCTCCCAGTTATCTCAGTAGAAGAAAGGGACTGATTAACTGGAGAGCCTCCTGTTTCTCTAGGAAGGAGCCAGTGATAGCACAAAATCTCTTGGGGCTGGGAAATGACTCATTTGCACAACAAGTGCACCCGCCCATTGACCCTTTCCCCCTCAGCATGTCAAGCCAACTTCTGGATCAGGTCCAGAGTGTCCTAGGAGAGAGCCAGGGCCATAAGGTGCAGAACAGCCCAGCTCCAGTTCACCATCACCCTCACTGAATCTGACCTAAGTGACCTCTGACCCCATCTTCCTGACTTTCGGTGTAAGCGGGCTGTCTCTGACAATCTGTAGGATCTGCTGCAGTGCAGGGGTTGGGAGTTAGGAGTGTTCCCCTTGGGGAGGCAGAGTCAGAGCAGGGAGGTTTGAGTCAAGATCTTCTTTGCCTGCTTAAGTGGTAGGCTTGGGCCTCAAAGAAGACCATACTCCAGCCCCTGCTCCCACCAGGTTTGTTCCTGGCCTTATCATCATGGGGCAGCTGGGGGCAAGTCCTCATGGAGTGGGTTGCCCATATCCCTTTGCTCCAGGCTACATTGAAGGCAAAGAGACTTAAGAGTCTAGCTTTAGCTCCTCTCCCTGAGCATATCCAGCAGAGAGACTTGTGGGAGAGAGAATCCTGGGAGCTGACTGTAGATTGCTGATGGGGACCCGTCTTCTCTTCCTTCCATTAGAACTCAGCACATTTCTCCAGTTTTGGAATCTTGTGGCTCAGCTGAGTCTGTATATCTGTGACCCAGCCAAGTACATCATAGCTGAGACCGTATTTACCAACTGTACCAGCCGCTGTGACACCAGAGGGGTACGGAAACCTAGCTGTTGAGATGGGACCCAATAGAACAGTGGTTCCCAATCTTTCTTATACCACCGACCCGCAAACTCATTCAAAAACTGTTGGCGGACAGCACTGAAATATTTGCATATTCATTATGGTAATTTTAGCCCAGGGTATAACAGGCAAATCAAAGGAGGGGGGAAATGATGGTTAACAAGAATTTGAAAAACTGCTGCGCACACATTTAAAAAAGCCCAATAAAATAGTTGCTAATACTTGTTAAAGATTATTCTCCAGTCCAAACCAGTTGCAGAATTAAAGAGGCAGTAGTTAACAGGCCTGACAGTGCTGACATACTCTGCACATTCATATTTTCCTATGCACTTAATAATGCATAATAATAATGTGTGTACCCACTGGCTGGAAGCAACTGGAGGCCAGGGGAGGCTCCTGCTGAGTGGAGTGGGAGGAGAATGGGGTCACAGAAGCAACCGCCCATCATGGGGCACTTGGCCACAGCAGCTGGGGCAGCTGCTCTCCACGTTGCTCTTGGCACCACTAGCTGGGGCATCTGCTCTCCACACTGCATTTGGCCCTGCCAGCTAGGGCAGCTGCTCTACACGTGGCCCTACCAACCAGGCTGCAAAGCAGCTGCCAGAGCCAGAACCAGGACAACAATGAGGCAGCCTCAGTAGGGACGGCCTCACCGCGTTCCCAGCTCCGGCCGCAGCAGACCTGGCTGCCAGCTGCCCCACTTACCCTGCTGTTGCGTGGGAAAGTGGGCAGGAAGGGAATTTCTTGGGAACCCCAGCGGGTGGAGCTAAATAAAAGCTGGGGGCATGGCCTGGCAAATGTGCCACAGTTCAGCAAACAGGAGTTCATGGCCCGCTGCTGCTCTGTGGACTGGCAGTTGGGAACCGCTGCAATAAAAGACTTAGGCTGAAGGAAGCTGGGCAAGGGCAAGCCTGACAAAATGAGCCCCTTCCCATCTGATACTGACCCCACTGAGGTATTGGGACCTGTGACAGGGTGTGCATACCCCACACTGAACTAGGAGAGGTTAAAACACTGTGGGCAGAGGAAGTCCTGCCCCTCCAACCAGATTGGGCATGCTCCAAATCCTGGAGCAGTATAAAGGGGAGTAGCTCGGCTCCGTCTGAGCTGACTCCTGGAGAAGGACCTCCTGGAGGAGCACCAGAGACTGTCTTTGTAGCTCAGCTCTGTCTGAGCTGACTCCTGCAGAAGGACCTCCTGGAGGAGCACCAGAGACTGTCTTGAGCCACCAGTGCTGGAGGAGCTCCTGAGAGAGGCGGCTGCAGGGGAACTGGAAGACCTAGAGACCACATGGAATGTCCCCATCCCAGCACTAGTAGGAAGTGCCCCAGGGAAGGGGCAGGAGTGATATCTCCCACTCAGGTGAGCTTGGTGTGTTGCAGTTGGATTCCCCACAGAGCGAGTGGTACAACATGCTGCCACTGACAGGCCCTGGGTTGAGGCCTGGTGGAGTAGGGTGGGCCTGGGTCCCCCTACTGGGGCTAATCAATCCAAATATTGATGCTGCCCTGAACTAAGGGCTACTCCTTATTAACGCTAGCCATTAGACTGTACTGCTCAGGCCAGAAGGCTGTTGGTACAGATTGATGAAGATTGCTGGCAGCTGACTAGGTGGTGTTATCACCCTTGGATACTTGCACCCCAATGGATGGGATGTGCATACACCATGACAGGACCCCTGCCAAAACCTGCTGACTCCTCTGAGATTGCTCCAGATGGAGGATGTCTTTTTCTCTTTTCTCTTCCTCTCCAATTTAGGATCAGATCTTCCCAACTACAGCCCAGGATACTCCATCCATGGGAATGAGCCTTGTTGTTCTGTTGGGCCAGGGATGCAATGAGAGCTCCTCCCAGTATATATGCACTAGGGATGTAAAATCCCATTTAATCAATTAACCGCTTAAATAGGCGCAGGTGGAGGGCTGGCTGGGCTGAAGCAGCCCACCAACATGGGCAGAGGCTGCTGCAGATGGGCAGGAGAGCCACTGCCTGCAGTGGGCCCAGCTGGGCCACCAGTTAACTGGTTAACCATTAACATCCCTAGTATCCACCATTGGGAATGGCAGGATGTAGGCATTGAAACCAGAATGAGAAACCTGACTTCATCTCTCTTTCTCCCCCAGGGCTGCTGAGACATGTGGTGCAGGAAGTGGCACCAGGAGAGCTGGCTACATAAACACTGCCAGCCTGGGGTGAGGGAGGTAAGTACCTAGCTCAGAGTGTGGGGCTGGTGAGGTATCCCTGCAGTGGCTTCATCCTGGAAACTGGCCATGAGTCTTACTTACTTATTTCTAGTTCATATATTTCCTTGTTCAGATCTGGGGAAGAGCATGGCATTAAAGGTCCTGGGTTGGAACCTTGCTAATAGTCATGGTTTCATGTGTTCCAGGGATCCCACTGCTACATGGCATGAAAAAATCTTTGGGTGGGTGAGTCACTGCAAGATTGTATCTCTGGGAATCTATGGCATGTCCCTGTCTACCTGGCTGACAAATGAGCATCTGAGAGGAGAGCCACTGGGTTGGTGACTGAGCATGACACACCCAGCTATTACCTGAAGGTGGGATTTGCCATCACAAGTCAAGAAGCAGAGCGCGCACACACGCACACCATCCCCCCGCCCC